ATGACCAAATATATATATTTCTTATCAATCACAATATTGCCCTCTCCTACTAATTTCATGTTTAATTTTGCTCTTATTTTTTTAATTTCTTAAGGAGAAAATTTGTATCATTGGTTTTCTTTCTTTCTTCCTTTCTAATTTGGGAATTGAAAGGACACATTTTCCTCTAAGTGCTGCTTTTGAGGCTTCCCACACATTCTGACATATTCTGACTCTATTACCACTCGGTTCACAATATTTTCTAACTTTCCTTGTTTATTCTTTGAACCATAGGAATTTGAGTACTGTTATCTAATTTAAAAATATTTTGGGATTTTCCAGATCTGAGCTCTCCAATATGCAGCCACTCAGCATGTGTTGCTATTAAGCACATGACAAGTTCCTGGTGCAAATCGAGGTGCTTTTTAAGGGTAAAATACCCACTGGATTTTGAAGACAATTCAAAATAAGGAGCGTAAAATATCTCATTTTTGAAAATATTCAAAGTGATAAAGATAATATTTTGGATATAATGGTTTAAATAAAGTATATTATTATTAATTTCACCTTTCTTTAATGTACCTACCAGAAAGTTTCAAATTACATTTGTGACTTGTTACATCTCTATTGAACAATACTATTCTAAATATCTTATTGTTACTGACTTTGATTTTGCTCTTAAAGAATGTCATCGTTTGCAATTTATTGATGCTTTTCTGGAGCAGTGTATGACTATCTTGATGAGCATCCAGTGTGCGCCTGAAAAGACTGTGTATTTTGCAATTATTTGACATCCTTTTTTGTAAGTGTCAATTATGCCAAGATGGTTGATAGTATTGCTCAAGTTTTCTATATCTGTACTGAAATATTTCCATCCTCTTGTTCTATCAATTATTGACAGAGAAGCTTTAAAATCTCCAACTACGACTGTGGTTTTGTAAATGTCTCCCTTTGTTTCTGTCTGTTTTTGCTTCACGTATTTTGAAATTTTGTTATTAGGTTCATACGTGCTAAGGTCTGTTATGTCTTCCTGGTTAAATTGCCACCTTATTGTTATGAAATGTCTGACTTTATCTCTACACTGTTCGCTTTGAAGCCTAATTGTATTAACAGCTTTCTTATGCTTGTTTGCAGTGTGTATCTTTTTCCATCTATTTATTTTCATACTATTTACAACTGCATTCCGACACCAATTCTCTGACACCAGCTGGGTGTCCTATAATTCATGTCAGTTCCTTCACTGACCATCCGGGTTGGCACGGATCTCACAGGGTGAGGGCACCGCTGCCTTTATTTCAGACACCAGCTGCAAGTGGACTCCACAGGCTACCTGCACTTCTGTCCTACTTGGCTTTCCACGACTTCCCTCCATTTAGATTCAATAATTTCATAGAACAACTCAAAGGGCTCACTAAAAGTTCTATACTTATGATGACTGTTTTGTTATAAAGGAAACAGCTTAGGAACAGTCAGATGGAGGAGACGGAAAGGACAGGGCCTTTCCTTGTGGAATCTGGGCACATCCCACTCCCGGCACATCGATATGTTCACCAACCAGGAAGGCTCCCTAAGCTTTGCTGTCCAGAGATTTTACTGAGGTTTAATTACATAGACACGATTGACTAAATCATTGTCGTGTGATCGAGCTCAGTCTCCTCTCTTCTCCCTGGAGGTCAGGGGTGAAGCTGAAAGTTCCAACCCTCTAATCATGTGCGTTGTCTTTCTGGGGTGGCCAGCCACTCGCAGGTAGCTAGCATAAGTCATCTCACTAGCATAAACTCTGGTGTGGTTGAAAAGGGCTCATTATGAATAATAAAATACACCTTTATCACTCAGAAAAGTCAAGAGTTTTTGAAGCTCTGTGGTTGGAACTGGGGGCAAAGACCAGATAGATTCTTCATTGCATCACGGGCCACCCATTGTCTTTGACCATGGGTCCCTGTGGCAAAAGGATCACACTTGTCTGAACATAACAGAGAGAGCAACATTGGGAAGATGCAGTGTGGGGTCGAGAGAGGAAGGCTTTAACTCCATTGCCTAATCTATTTGAATATCAACATCAGGATGACAATCTTACCAACAGTGCCAGCATAAGACCACATTGCATTATGGTCGACGTGTTAACGAAAAATTATTCTGGTAAGGAAGCCTTTATTCAAGACCACGGCAACAGAGGAGACAGACTGAAGTCAATACGAGGTGCGAATACAGCAAAGACAGCTGGGGGTGAGTGAAGGGGTCAGTGGGAGGACGATTACTAAGAGATATCCGTGTAGGGGGGGATCTTGCTGAGCTGACTCAGCAGAATTCTTTGCTAAAACTGGATGTGGCAGGCCAAAGAGGACTGGGGTCAAGGCTGAGGCGTGCTTGAGGAGACGCTTCAGAGGAGCCTGACTAACGCTTGGGCGAGAAGGGAGTCTGTGAGTCTCTCTTCTGTTGTAAGGAAAGAAGAGACGTTCTTCTTTCTTCTGCACAATAGACGTCCATTTCTCTTTCAACCACCCTTTGTTTAGTAAGCACCAGCTGAGCCGGGCATGTCAAGACTTGCAGTGGAAGGTGTTTGCTAGATGGCACGAGACATCAGGTATTTTACAAGGGGATTTCTGTGAAGACAAAAGAAAAACAAAGTCAATGGTTTGAGCAAATTATAGACCCAGTTTCTGAGTCCAGAGGGCAGCCGGTGGAGAAGATTTCTAGAGGTTGGGCTCCAAGTGTGTTTAGATGGTCCAGTAAGTGTGGCAGTGGCAATGTAGTAAATATGACAGATTTCCTGGTTTGCAGTTTGAATGTTTTTGTGATGGCATAGATGTCGGAGGTTTTGGTGTCATAGCCCACAGTCCTGGCTTTTCCTGGAGCAGAAGGTAGACGCAGGGGCTTGGGAGCAGTTCCTGAGGCCACACAGCACAGCCCAGGCTTGAACGTGGTCCACCCACGTTCTACTGTGGGGATGAGCCCTTTGAGGGGCCGTTGTCCGGCTTCAGCTGGCAGAATCTTTAGATCTGAGGGGAAAGGGCAGCTGTAAGGCAGTCTAGAGTTCTGAGAAGGATCTGGGTGGTTTGCTTTTGGTTCTCAGTGAGGCCAAGTGAGGAGGGTGGGAGAAAAACTGCAAATGTTTGTTTGAAGAATTGTAGGCAGATAATGAAAGCACCTAGGGAAATGGAGAAGCTGGCAAGGACTGACAAAGTGTGCAAGGTGGCAGATCCCACCCTATTTGCAGATAAGCAACAAACTTCCATAATGGTCGTGCCCGGAGTCTGGTAACCCGTGAGAGTGCACGTAATTCTCTGTGGAAACACTAAATGTCTCTCTGCGCTCACCCTCTCTTCGTTCAAAGATCAGTGAAACAAGGTCATTCTCATTTACACAATAAGCCTGATCTCTTTAGATTTGGCCTGGTTGTTTACCTAAGTGCAGCAAGAATGGTAACTGAATACAGGCCTTTTTAAGTAGGCTTTGCTGGAGCTTTCCATAAGCAATGTGAGACTGGACTTTTCAAAGCCTCCTGAGACCAGGAAGCCAAGCCAAGGACTTGATCCTGACTTTTTCTTTTTTTGGGGGTGGGGGGGAAGATTAGCCCTGAGCTAACATCTGCTGCCAATCCTCTTCTTTTTGCTGAGGAAGACTGGCCCTGAGCTAACATCCGTGCCCATCTTCCTCTACTTTATATGTGGGACACCTACCACAGCACGGCTTGCCAAGCGGTGCCACATCCGCAGCCGGCATCCCAACCAGCGAAACCTGGGCCAAGGAAGCGGAATGTGTGAACTTAACCTCTGCGCCACTGGGCTGGCCCCTAGACCCCAGCATTTGCCTGCAGTACCCATAGAGTTGGGTGAATTCCTCTCTCTTTGCAATCTCCCAAATATCCTACGCTTACTAGGCCTGCCAGGCCGTGACCTTCCCACTCACTTGTAAGGCTGGTAGTCCAGTAAGCCAGGTACCAGGCCGGTTTTCCCGAGAGGGCTTCGGAAGCCCTGGCTGCATGAGGTCACCCTCAGTTCCTTACAATTGACCACACGTGATTCTGTGCACACGGTTCCAGATGACATTCCAGTCAAATGCCTTGACTTGGTTGTAACCAGTGTTTCCAGTTATGTCCTATTGCTAGAGGACAATTTCTTACTGAACCTATGCAAATAATTATAGTGCCATGAAAATAAGAATACTCATGAGGAATTTCTGAATTCTGGGGAGCTCAGGCAGGGAGAAAAAGACAAATGTTTCCTTTCTGTTTATAAAAGCACGGTCTACTGAACTGCTACGCGTTATAGATAGGAGAAAATAGAAAGGCGTGCCCTATGTCTAGAAACAAAAGCCATAACCATCCTCTGTTCACTCAGTCCTGTGTCATAAATTCTGCTTCCACTCGCTCTTGGGTTAGCAGACTCATGACCCCATCAGCTTCTCCGCTAGAGCTCATGGTATGATCTCAAAGTTATTTAAGTAATGCCTCCAGATGCTTGCGCCCCAGAGCACAGGCATGGGCTCTGAGACCATCACTTTTGGTGAAGACAAAGCCCCCTGGCCTGTAGCTGACCACACATGCTTTCAGGGAAGAAACAGAGTAAAACAGAAACTGTCTGAGGATGACAAAAGACTGAAAATGACTGGCAAAGATCTGATGAGGGCTCACTGTAAAAATGACACAACAGATGAGGAAATTTGGTTATTTCTTGACACAAAACATTTAAAAATAATCACTGGATGGGCCAGCCCCAGTGGCCTAGTGGTTAAGCTTGGCACACTCCGCTTCAGCGGCCCAGGTTCGGTTCCTGGGCACGGAACTACAACACTCATCTGTCAGTGGCCATGCTGTGGTGGCAGCTCACATACAAAAAGAGAAAGATTGGCAATAGAAGTTAGCCCAGGGCAAATCTTCCTCAGCAGAAAAATTTAAAAAATAAAGATAATAACTGGAATTATGACTAACATTATGTTGTTGTATAATATGAAGCTGAGCATTACCAGGACATTTCACGGGCAGTGAAGTCACAGACACTGACAAATTTCTAGGAACTTCATGCAATTTCTTAATTGTTTGTATTAGCTACACTTTGTTCACACAGATATAACATAGAGAAGGTTAAACACCTTGTCTTATTTGACAACGCTTCCCATGCAACTCACCACACCAAATAAATCTAATAGTTTTTGATGTCTCTCTTTGTGCAAGGCAAAAGGACAGACACTTTGTGATTCTCCAGGGGCCCCATGGAAATCTCAATGTCTGTGTGAGATCAGCAGATTTCACTTAGCATGCACTTGGGAAGGCACAGTTATCAGAAACGTCAAAAGGTTTGAACACTTCACTCAATAGCGTCACAGTTCACTGTTAGGCGATGCTTGCTTGCTTTTTAACCAAAGTGACAATAAAAGACTTTAGAACTAGATAGGAGGCAACATGACTATGTGTAAAAAAAAAAGCGCAGCTCTTTTCAAGATGAGAAAGCTTTGTTGTCTTGCATCATCAAGAACATGATAGAGTCAGCATACGGCACAGAAAATCACTCCGATGAAACACACAATCTTTGTTTTCTAGGCAGACTACAGATTACTCAAAAGGTAAAGAAGATCGTTATACAGTCTCTTATTAAGATCAGACCAATAACCCAAGAAGAGTTTGTCATTTTAAGAGAGAGGAAACCAAATTCTAGTTTTGCATTAGTGTGGTATTGATACTAAAATTTACGTTTAAAAAATCATATAAATAGACACATGTAGCCTTAGCCAGCTTTGACCACGCAACGTGAGATTCCTTCTCTACAAACCTGCAACTTCCCACATCATCCAGGTTTTGCCCTGCCTTTTCCTCCTTGTGGGGAAACAGCCAGGCCCTGTACTTCAGGACAAAGTGACTTTTTACCTTCTACAAACACAGCCTACTTTCTTTGCGGACAAAATTGTTTCCTTTCACCCTTATCATTTCTAGTAGTTTCGTTTACGTATATTGATCATAATTTTTAACCCTAGTAACTTTTATTTTACAGGGAAGACTAGGGAGCAGACATTTGTGAATTGTCTGTCATGCACCAGTGTCCTGTGGCGGACTGGCAAAGTTTATGACTGAGCCATCTCACAGCTTTTATAGCTCTACACTTCCTCGTGGTACGATTTTTGATTGAAGCAAAAAGACCATGTTTGTTAACAGAATAAAACACAGCCTCTCCATACTGTTTAAAAATAGGAAGCTGAAGCCTGTAAACGTAAATTTATGCTTAGTAATTGATATCTCAGCAGTTTCTTACTTAGAAATGGTCTGGATATTTAAGGAATATCTATTCTTAGCTTAAGTCTAAGGTCGCAAATTGCCAAGAAGATTTTGGAAACTCTTGTTAACCAGACGTGCTAAAAGCCTAGTTATTCTTGAAAACTCCATTGACAGAAGTTTTATTGTACTTGTGTCAACTTAATACATGCGGTCTTAACAATTATGCTTGGATTATTCATGCGAATGTCATAAAATATGAAACTAAGCTAGCCATCGTCTCAGGTTATTTCCTTGTTAACTATTTTTACAGTGTGTGCTTGTTAGGCAAGTACCCCCCAAAAAAAAAAAATCACAAAAGCAAAAATACCCACAAAAAACAACTAAAAAATGTTAAATCCACAATTTTTTTTGTTTTACTGCCGCATTGGAGGGGCATGAAGTAACAGGTATCAAGCAATCCATGTCTCGTTGTGTATCACATTCCTCGTTACTCCTATTTTTATTCCTAGCGTGAATGTATAATCTTTATAGTCTTACATCCACAGCTGTATTGTCTCTCTCTGTGTAGTCTAGTGCATACTGGTAAACCCAAAAAGAGTAAAAATGTATGCTTATGTTATTTATATGCAATGCTAGTAACTCAGAGGACACAGCCTTTTTCACTAAACCAACAATATGAAGCTACTCTTACTTACCCAAGATTTACCCAAATCATGTGAACTTCAACAGCATGTGGTTGGGCTTTGATATTTGTGAGAGTTTCGGGACGATCTCACGGATATAAGCACTTATTTACATCTAAGCCGACCAGAGCAGAGAAGTCAGCTTTCAGGAATTTCACCAATGGATTTGATAACACCATCCAGAGATCGGGAGACACCACGCACAGTGCGCTCGTACACACACACACAGAAAGACACAGAGAGCTCCCCAGCCTTCAGGCCAACCCATTAGCCGTGAGTCAGGCACAGACACAGGAACACGAGACTTGTGGGTTTCTGTAAAGAGCGGGCTCTCCCCTTTGCCCCGTTTTCTATTTTTATCTGAATTGTGTTTCTGGGAGAGGACACGATGTGGGTCACCTGCTCCATGTGAGGATCAGAGTCCCCATGTTTATGGAGGGCGTGGTTGACATTTCCTTTGCCCTGGTGTGCAGGCCTGTGGGGGCTGCGGACAGCCCTGTTATAATGGCTCCTTCCAGTCCTCAACCAGACCAGTACTCTGAGGGGAGATCTCTGCCCATTGGTGGACATGGTGGGCGGTGACATGTGCTCCTTGGTCTGAAGAGAGGTGACTCACAGGTCCAGACTTTGGCAGTGTCTTCTGTTCTGCTCTGTTCTGCTCCTAGACAGCATCCCGAGCACGGCATCTACCCCCAGGGAAGCCAAGCCCGATCCAGTCGGGGTCTGCTACTATGGGGACCGTGTGCCTCCGCCGGGGGCCTCCCCGTCCCAGCATCCATCTCCCTTGCCAGCTGTGATGAGGGCCTTCCCGCAGGGGATGTCCCTGGAGCCGTCGGCGGTCTGGCTCTCTTTTACTGGCAGACAGCCCTGTTCTTGCTGGCATTCTGGGCCTTGCAGGCTGCAGGAGGAATGTGTCTACACCGAGCCCGTCTCTGCACTGCCGCAACCCCCGTGTCCATTGTCTCCCACAGCGATGCCTCGTCCCTCTTTCTCGGACTTGGGGAAGTTACCACCCCCCTCTCAGCAAAACACTGCCCTTCTCTCCAGCTCAGGTGGTGAAGGGACCGGCGGGAGACGACCGTGGCCCCTCTGCTCCCCTGGCTTCTACAAGGAAAACTGGGGTGGATGTGCGGGCTCACACCCAAGCCCCTGAACTGGTGGGGGCAGCACCACAGGCCCGTTGCCTCTGCCCCAGACCGGTATGAGACTCAGGCACTTGACCACTCCCCGTGGCTCAGTTTCCCCACCTGTGAAGGGGAGGGCCAGCGTTGGTCTCCAAGGCCCTGTTGACCCCACCATGGCGATCCCTGTGGGGTTCCCAGAGCCACACTCAGAGTTCCCGGGCAAGGGCAGCTGTAATGAGGGTGGCAGGGGCTTCTCTCTGGAAGATGTGCCTGGGGGACCTGGGGAGGAGACGAAGCTCTGATCACCACAGTCCCACCGGGAGGAACAGGGTCCTGTGGGGTCAGGGAGCCTCTGAGCTTCAGGGTCACCCTGGGGGACAGGTGCTCAGAGGGGAAGAAAGCGTGAAAGATGATGAAGGGAAGGAAGAAGCCAGGTCCCCTCCCCTGCCGCCACCACCACCTCTGCTGAGGGTGTCCTGGCAGCGCAGCCCCCACACGGGCCCTGGACAGATGCCCCCGATGGAAGGTCCTGGTGTGGCTCCCAGCAGGCATGGGAAGGGGGGCTGTGAGGCAATGGCCTCCTTTGATGGCCCTGCTGAGGTTTTCCCACGGCAGCCGGGGCACATGGACGTGGCAGTGCTGGGTCAGAGGAGCCCCTAGAAGTGAAGACACCCCCGAAGGCCCCAGCACTGCCTGCCCTGCCAGGAGCCTCGCCTGCGGACTTGAGGCCGGACCGTCCCTGTTGGAATGTTTCTGTGAAAATCTAAAGCGTCGTTTGGACTTTGAAGTTTTGGGACACCCCCTTCTCTGCATCGTCACAGGACTCCATACAGTTCTTGGTAAAGCCCAGAAACCCTGAGGGAGGAAGCAGACGGAAGTGGAGAAGGAGAAATCACTCTGAGGCCCTCTGCCCCTGGGGTCCCCCTCCGCTCTCATTCTCCTGTACCCAAGGGCCCCCCCGGGGATGTCTCACAGGAGCTGCCCCCAGGCCACATGACGGGGACACTGAGGCAGGTCGAGAGGGTAGTGAGGTCAGCCCCCAGAGCCCTTGCTCCAGGCCAGGAGGAGTCCAGGCACCTGGCTGGACAGGACGGAGGAGTGAGGGTGGGTCGGGTAGACACAGGGGTCTCAGGGCTGAGCAGAGGAAACAGGGGGCTTCCAGGCCCAGTCTGGGGACCCCATTCAGGGTGGGCGGTGGCACGTGGCCCCTGGCCGTGGCAGGCTTTCTCCAGGGGAGCCGGGGGCTCTCAGGCACTCGTCCTCACCCGTCAGGTTGAGGGACCCACCACCACCCTGACCCCCACAGATGCCAGGACGCCCTGCCCGCAGCCCTCACCTCCCTCAGCCAGCTCCGTGAACAGCAGTGCCGCCCGCAGGCTTCAGCTGGCCTCTGCATGCCTTGCTCCAGGCCACAAGAGACAGATTCCGTAGCCCCGGCCTGAGGTACCTGGAGGTCAGGCGCAGGCGGGCCCCCCAGCCCAGCCCCATGAAGGTGGGACCCACTCCCACTGTGGCTTTGGCCGCTGCTCCCTATCCCCCTCCAGGGGGTCAGGAGAAGGCGGCTGGGGGCGGGCTCCCTCCCCTCTGTGTGAAGAGCTTCCCTTCGCCCCTCTTAGGCATCCCTCCAGTGCTGGGGAAAGAGCCCCCCTTCCTCAGAAACGCACCCTGCCCCTCCCCCACCTGCCCTCCATGGACCAAGGGGCATTTTCTCTTTGCTACCCTTAGGGGACAGGAATCCTGAAGCCAGTGTTCCCCAGTCAGGGGTAATTCCTCTCAACCAGGGGGCATTTGGCAATGTCTGGGACATTTTTGGTTGTCATGACTCAGGGAGGGAGGAGACCTGCTGGCATCCAGGGGATAGAGGCTGGAACCCGCCCCCACTGCCTGTGGGCTGCTCTGCCTGGATGTTCCAGTGGCCCCCACACTCGGCAGCCCCAGCCTTAAGCTCAGCATCCTCCAGAGTCCCCATTCCGAGCTGAGACCACACTAGTGGCTCACTCTAGCCATTGTCCTTGATGGAGCCCTGTGAGTGGGTGGGATCACCATTCAGAGCCTTAGATACCCCTAGACTTAAGTTAGCTCTAGGTACGCAATAAACCAGCATGAGTGGAGCAGGGTTAGAGATCAAAGGAAGTGTCAGCTTAAGACTGAAGGCAAGGACAGACCAAATCCATGGTGAGAGGAGCCAGGGCAAGACAAGACCAAATTCTTGATGATATGAGGCAGGTCAAGACAAGACCAATACCAAGAACAAGAACAAGAACAAGGCCTGGGCTGCACTGACCAAGGCCCACTAGTGGCTGTGATGGGCACCAAGCCCCAGCAAGACACGCTCAGGCCACGGTGTGGCAGTGTTTGGATGGATGCTGATAGCAGCGTCCTGTGGCCTGGGGCAGCCCCGAGCTATGGGGTCACCCTGGGTGCAGGCGCTCAGCGGGGAAGAACGTGTGAAAGACGATGGAGGAAGGAAGCGGGCCAGTCCCCCTCCGCTACTGCCACCACTGCCTCTGCTGAGGGTGTCGCAGCAGTGCAGCCCCCAGTGGGCACTGGACAGATGTTCCCCAAAGGAGGGTCCTGGTGTGGCTCCTGGCAGAGGTTCAGAGAGCAGGGAGTGTGTGTCAGAGCAAATGCTTCATGGGGGGCAGTGGGGGCCATCCCCCCGTGTGCGAAGCTGGCCCCTCCAGGATCTGCCCCTGCCCCTAGCCCCCTGGCCATCAGAGCTCGTGGCCGAGGGAGAACCAGGCTGCCCAAGAGGCTTCCTCGGAGGCAGGTGGCAGAGACCCCCACACGCACTCCCCCCGACCTCCCCACCGTGGGGCCGAATGGCATGTGAAGAACAGGAGGGGGGCTGAAGAGCATTTATTGTCTACTGACTGCCGTGGGCGCTCTGCAGAGGACCCGCTGGAGGGGCTGTGGGCTCCGCTGTCCTAGCAGCCCCTGTCCAGCCGGGGCTCGGCAGTCTCTGCATCTTGAGTCTGTGGTTGATTGATGGTGTTCGCAAAGTGTGACAGGCCTGTTGGCATAGCAGGGCGGTGGGCTTGGGGCTGGGGCTGGCCAGATGGGTGGGCAGGAGTGGCCGAGGGTCAGCAGAGGGTGGAGGCTGCCCGCGTCCTTCCCTGGGCCTCTGGGTCCCAGCTATAGCAGGAGGAGGAGTCCAAGCATAGCCTACGCTTGCGAGAACTCATGGGTCTGAGCGTGTGTGTGGATGCGTGTGAGCGCATGCGTATGAGTGTATGTGCATGTGAGTGACTGCTTGTGCGTGTGTGTACATGTGTGTGCATGTGCATGAGAGAGCGAGCTTGAGGTGGGAGCTGCTGTGAATGCCACATGGAAGTACGATCAGTAAGGATGCTCCCCCCTCAACTTGGTGTCTGAGTCCCAGGGGTCCTCACAGCCGGGCCCAGAGGAGGGCAGGCCCCAGGCTGAGCAGGAGCCCCCCAGCCAGGGCCCAGAGGCTGCGCGCCACCTGGGCCACCCCGTTACAGAGGTCCTTTTCACAGCAGGCCACATCCCGCACTTCTAGGTTGAACGCTGGGTTGGATAGATTCGAAATCTGCTGCATCGCCTGGGAAGCTTCCTGGCAGGAAGGGGCACAACCCTTAGCGTGTATTGTGCCTGTCTCCCCTGTGGGGGAGAAAAGGAAATGCCGGATGTGGGAGGCCCCCCAGTTCCCTCTGACCTCTGGGGTTGTCCCTTATCGCCCTCTCCCCAGGGCTGCTTGGCCCTCCATTCCTCTGCTGGGAGGCCCATCCCGCCCCACCAAGCCCCCACAGCCTCTGGAGGCTAGCCCCTCTTGTACAGATGGGGACACTGAGGCAGGCCAGTGAGGGCCCAGGTGACACGGACACTGGCCCCTGCCACACTCATACTCCTTCCATGAGGCCAGGGGGAGCCTCAGAGCAGAGCCCCCTGAACCCACCCCCACATTCTGATCCTGGGAACTCACCAGTGGCCGTGGTGAATGTCATGCTGCCCTTGTAGCAGACACTTGGTGTCGGGGCACATGAAAAGATAAGCTGGCACTTGTTGATGTTCTCAACATCAGCGCAGCTGTAGCACCGCAGGCTCAGGGCTGAGACCAGAGGGGGACACAGGTCAAGCTCAGATGGCAGAAAGGCTGGATTTAGACCCCCACAGACCACAGCCACAGCCCACATTGGAGCGTGGCCTCTGGGCCCCTGCATAGGAACTGTGGCCCCTTCCCGCCTTCTGGGGTTCTGGAGGACAGACTCCCTACATGCTCACACACAGCCTCTCACAGGGGATGCCACCCCATGCCACCCCATGCCTCCAGGACAGGTCCCTGCCGGGTTCCCTGGGACTCACCTTGCTGGGAGCACAGCAGCACGGCCAGCAGGACCAGATGGATGCCTTTCATGGCTCCTGGAGATGGCACAATTCCAGTGGGCCCCTTTAGGGTGCTCCAGGTTCAGGCTCCTACCCTCCTCCCGAAACCCTGACCCTCCATTGCTGACCCCTCTGCAGGCCTCCCCCAGCCCCCTGTGCCAGCCAGGTGGCTCTCCCACCTTGACTCACCTGCTAGCTTCAGCCTACACTCAGGAAATCAGCATCTGGAGGCACTTCCTCATCGGCTCAGAATATATCCCCTTGCACCCTTGTGCCCCACCCATGAGAACTGGGGGAGGGCGGGTGCTGGGCTGTGTGTCTCCGCCGTTTGCAAGGATTCTAGTGGTCAGACTCTACCCGGGACCATTAGTCGTTAGTCACAGGCCAGGAGGGCGGGCGTGAACTCCGGGCCTGCTGGGAGGGGCTGATTGGCAGAAATCCTGCTTCCTTCTCACTGAGGAGCAGTTGCCTTGGGGAGATCCCAGGAGGAAGCTCGGCGGTCTCCAGTTTCCAATCGCCCTTCAGAGGCCTCTCTGAGGCCGCCGGCCCCCTCCTCAGAGCTGTAAAACTGAGACCTGTCAATGTTGGTCCTGTCTGTCCCCTTTCCCTTCTCTGGGCTCCCAGTCCCAGTCCTCTCCTGGTGTCCTCCATGCACCCCCACCCCTCTGTGCGTCCTTTGTCTGCCCTTGGTGTCAGGGTAACGCTGGCCTCACAGAGTGAATTCGGAAGTGTCCCCGCCTCTTCAGTGTTCGGAAGAGTTTGAGGAGCATGAATGTTTATTCCTTTTTAAAAGTTTGGTGGAAGCACCAGTGAAGGCACCCAGTCCTGTGCTTGCTTTCTTGGGAGGTGTTTGATCCTTACTAGTTCCGGTCATCCCTGGTATGCAGGGGGATCAGTTCCAGGGCCCCTCCTGGTACCAAACTCTGCGATGCTCAAGCCCCTTATATAGAAGGGCGTAGTGTTTGCACACGACCTACGCATATCCTCCCGTGTCCCTGACATCATCTCCAGAGTACTTATAAGAGCTGATATAATCTAACTGCTGTGGAAATAGTTGTTATACTGTATTGTGTGGGGGATGGTGACAAGAAAACGGTCTGTACACGTTCCGTACAGATGCAGCCATCGTAAGCCTTTCGCTCCTTGGATGCTGAGCCCATGGATACAGAGGGCCCTCTGTATGTGTCTATCAGATTTTGTTGTTTGTTTTTTTAAATTTATTTTTAAGCCTTTTTTTTCCTTCCTCCCAAAGCCCCCCAGTGCACAGTTGTATATTCTAGCTGTAGGTCCTTCTGGTTCTGCTATGTGGGATGTCGCCTCAGCATGGCTTGATGAGCGGTGCTAGCTCTGCGCCCGGGATCTGACCTGGTGAAACCCTGGGCCGCCGAAGTGCAGTGCGGGAACTTACGCCACTGGGCCACTGGGCCGGCCCCTGTCTCCCCTCGCCCAGCCCCTTTTCCTGTTTTACTGGGGGACTCGATGGACCCACTCCCACTGTGGCTTTGGCCGCTGCTCCCTATCCCCCTCCAGGGGGTCAGGAGAAGGCGGCTGGGGGCGGGCTCCCTCCCCTCTGTCTGAAGAGCTTCCCTTCGCCCCTCTTAGCTATCCCTCCAGTGCTGGGGAAAGAGCCCTCCCTCCTCAGAAACGCACCCTGCCCCTCCCCCACCTGCCCCTCCCCCACCTGCCCTCCATGGACCAAGGGGCATTTTCTCTTTGCTACCCTTAGGGGACAGGAATCCTGAAGCCAGTTTTCGCCAGTCAGGGGCAATTCTCCTCAACCAGGGGGCATTTGGCAATGTCTGGGACATTTTTGGTTGTCATGACTCAGGGAGGGAGGAGACCTGCTGGCATCCAGGGGATAGAGGCTGGAACCCGCCCCCACTGCCTGTGGGCTGCTCTGCCTGGATGTTCCAGTGGCCCCCACACTCGGCAGCCCCAGCCTTGAGCTCAGCATCCTCCAGAGTCCCCATTCCGAGCTGAGACCACACTAGTGGCTCACTCTAGCCATTGTCCTTGATGGAGCCCGTGAGTGTGTGGGATCACCATTCAGAGGCTTAGATACCCCTAGATTTAAGATAGCTCTAGGTACGCAATAAACCAGCATGAGTAGAGCAGGGTTAGAGATCAAAGGAAGGGTCAGCCTAAGACTAGAAGCAAGGCCAGACCAAATCCATGGTGAGATGAGCCAGGTCAAGACAAGACCAATACCAAGAACAAGAACAAGAACAAGAACAAGGCCTGGGCTGCACTTACCAAGGCCCACTAATGGCTGTGATGGGTACCACGCCTGGGCAAGACACGCTCAGGCCAGGATGTGGCCGTGTTTGGATGGATGCTGATAGCAGCGTCCTGTGGCCTGGGGCAGCCCCGAGCTATGGGGTCACCCTGGGTGCAGGCGCCCAGCGGGGAAAAACGTGTGAAAGACGATGGAGGAAGGAAGCAGGCCAGTCCCCCTCCGCTACTACCACCACTGCCTCTGCAGAGGGTGTCCTGGCAGTGCAGCCCCCAGTGGGCCCTGGACAGATGTTCCCCAAAGGAGGGTCCTGGTGTGGCTCCTGGCAGAGGTTCAGAGAGCGGGGAGTGTGCATCCGAGCAAATGCTTTATGGGGGGCCGTGGGGCCACCCCCTGGTGTGCAAAGCTGGCCCCTCCAGATTCTGCCCCTGCCCCTAGCCCTCTGGCCATCAGAGATCATGGCCGAGGGAGCACCGGGCTGCAGCAGGTGTCAGAGACCCCCACAGAACTCCCCCCGACCTCCCCACCGTGGGGCCGAATGGCATGTGAAGAACAGGAGGGGGGCTGAAGAGCATTTATTGTCTACTGACTGCCGTGGGCGCTCTGCAGAGGACCCGCTGGAGGGGCTGTGGCTCCGCTTCCTAGCAGCCCCTGTCCAGCGGGGCTCGGCAGTCTCTGCATCTTGAGTCTGTGGTTGATTGATGGTGTTTGCAAAGTGTGACAGGCCTGTTGGCATAGCAGGGCACTGGGCACCTGAGGCTGGGGCTGGCCAGGTGGGAGGGCAGGAGTGGCCGTGGGTCACCCGAGGGTGGATGCTGCCCACCTCCTTCCCTGGGCCTCTGGGTCCCAGGTGTAGCAGGAGGTGGAGTCCAAGCATAGCCTGTTTGTGAGAACTCACGGGTCTGAGCAATGTGTGCATGTGTGTGAGCGCATGTGCGTGAAAGTATGTGCACACGTGTGCCCGCATGTGCATGTGTGTACACGTGTGCATGTGCACGTGTGTGAGGTGTGTGAGTGTACACATATGTGTGCATGTGAGCGAGCTTGAGGTGGGAGCTGTTGTGCAGGCCACCAGCAACTGCGATCCTCCTTGGTGTCTGGGTTCCAAGGGTCCTCACAGCAGGGCCCAGAGGAGGGCAGGCCGCAGGCTGAGCAGGAGCCCCCCGGCCAGGATCCAGAGGCTGCGCCCCACCTGGGCCACCCTGTTGCAGAGGTCCTTTCCACAGCAGTCCGGAGCCCACAGTTCTAACTTAGACCTGTCCTCTGAAACCATCTTCTCCACCAGCTGCTCCATCATGTCATAAACGTCATCGCAGGAAGAGCCACAACCCTTAGAATGTAACTTGACCACCTGCCCTGTGGGCAAGAAAGGAGACGGCTGGCTTGGAGGCCCCCCAGTTCCCTCTGACCTCTGGGGTTGTCCCTCATCGCCCTCTTCCCAGGGCTGCTTGGCCCTCCATTCCTCTGCTGGGAGGCCCATCCCGCCCCACCAAGCCCCCACAGCCTCTGGAGGCTAGCCCCTCTTGTACAGATGGGGACACTGAGGCAGGCCAGTGAGGGCCCAGGTGACACGGACACTGGCCCCTGCCACACTCACACTCCTTCCATGAGGCCAGCGTGAGCCTCAGAGCAGAGCCCCCTGAACCACCCCCACATTCTGGATGCTGGGAACTCACCACTGGTCTTGGTCAAGGTCCTGCCACCCTTATAGCAGATGCTCGGTGTGGAGTCACATGAGATGGTGGTCTGGCACTTGCTGACGTCCTCTTCTTCAGTGCAGTTGTAGCACTGCAGGCTCAGGGCTGGGGTTTGGCAGGGACACAACCAAGCTCCAACAGCAGGAAGCTGGGTTTAGACCCCCACGGACCACAGCCACAGCCCACATTGGAGCGTGGCCTCCAGGCCCCTGCATAGGAACTGTGGCCCTTTCCCGCCTTCTGCGGTTCTGGAAGACAGCTCCCCACATGCTCACACACAGCCTCTCACAGGGGATGCCGCCCCATGCCCCCAGGACAGGTCCCTGCCGGGTTCCCTGGGACTCACCTTGCTGGGAGCACAGCAGCACGGCCAGCAGGACCAGATGGATGCCTTTCATGGCTCCTGGAGATGGCACAATTCCAGTGGGCCCCTTTAGGGTGCTCCAGATTCAGGCTCCTCCCCTCATCCCCACGCCCTGTTCCTTCATAGCTCACTCCTCTGCAGGCCTCCCCCAGCCCCCTGTGCCAACCAGATGGCTCTCGCACCTTGAGTCACCTGCTAGCTTCAGCCTACACTCAGGAAATCAGCATCTGGAGGCACTTCCTCAGCGGCTCCGAAAATATCCCCTTGCACCCTTGTGCCCCCCCCACCGTGAGAACTGGGGGAGGGCGGGTGCTGGGCTGTGTGTCTCCGCCGTTTGCAAGGATTCTAGTGGTCAGACTCTACCCGGGACCATTAGTCGTTAGTCACTGGCCAGGAGGGTGGGCGTGAACTCTGGGCCTGCTGGGAGGGGCTGATTGGCAGAAATCCTGCTTCCTTCTCACTGAGGAGCAGTTGCCTTGGGGAGATCCCAGGAGGAAGCTCGGCGGTCTCCAGTTTCCAACCGCCCTTCAGAGGCCTCTCTGAGGCCGCCGGCCCCCTCCTCAGAGCTGTAAAACTGAGACCTGTCAATGTTGGTCCTGTCTGTCCCCTTTCCCTTCTCTGGCTCCCAGTCCCAGTCCTCTCCTGGTGTCCTCCATGCATCCCCACCCCTCTGTGTGTCCTTTGTCTGCCCTTGGTGTCAGGGTAACGCTGGCCTCACAGAGTGAATTCGGAAGTGTCCCTTCCTCTTCAGTGTTCGGAAGAGTTTGAGGAGGGTTGATGTTTATTCCTTTTTAAAAGTTTGGTAGAAGCACCAGTGAAGGCACCCAGTCCTGTGCTTGCTTTCTTGGGAGGTGTTTGATCACCGATCCTTCTCCTTACTAGTTCTGGTCATCCCTGGTATGCAGGGGGATCAGTTCCAGGGCCCCTCCTGGTACCAAACTCTGCGATGCTCAAGCCCCTTATATAGAAGGGCGTAGTGTTTGCACACGACCTACGCATATCCTCCCGTGTCCCTGACATCATCTCCAGAGTACTTATAAGAGCTGATATAATCTAACTGCTGTGGAAATAGTTGTTATACTGTATTGTGTGGGGGATGGTGACAAGAAAACGGTCTGTACACGTTCCGTACAGATGCAGCCATCGTAAGCCTTTCGCTCCTTGGATGCTGAGCCCATGGATACAGAGGGCCCTCTGTATGTGTCTATCAGATTTTGTTGTTTGTTTTTTTAAATTTATTTTTAAGCCTTTTTTTTCCTTCCTCCCAAAGCCCCCCAGTGCACAGTTGTATATTCTAGCTGTAGGTCCTTCTGGTTCTGCTATGTGGGATGTTCGCCTCAG